GGGGGGGGACCAGAGCCCAATAGGCTGGCCCTGTGCCCAAGTCTCGTGTGTGCATGTCTCCTGCCACCTGGGGCGTCACCAAGGCCTGGCAGCCTGGCCCAGCGCTGGAGAGGGACACTTCCAGCAGGATGGGCCTGGGGGGCTCTGATTCCCCTGTCCACGCTGGCCCTGCCAGCGGTGGGGTGCTCCCTGCTGTCCTCTGGGGCCCTGGAGGGGAGCCGTGGGAGGCAACGGCACAGGAACACCACTAAGGCTGACAGCTTCCTCGCAGGTGCTGGCCTGGCTGCACGCAGGGACTGGGGGCAGGACAGCTGTCGACGGGTCTGGGTGGGGTCTCAGGCACTACAGCTCAGGCCCTCCTGGCCCCTCCACAGTTGACCTTCCGGGAGCCTGGGCGTGGGTGAGCCAAACACACCAGGGTCACGGGGGGGCTAGAGGTAGCTGCAGCAGCCATGCAGGTGGGGCCCGGCGGCTCCTGGGCGCTCGGTGTGATGGCCATGGCAGGTTCTGACCCAGGTGTGTGCAGAGGGCAGGACAGAGCCCCTGCAGGAGCCGGGAGACCTCGCCATCTCCAGCCCACGTGCCAGTCCGGCAGGTCCCTAGGACACCTTGGCTGGGCTGGCAGTGCCTTCCTCCTGGCGGGACCTGGGGAGGAGGCTGCGCTCCGAAGGAGCACAGGCAGCTGGTAGAGTCCACACGCACGGCGTTGTTCAACTGAGGTGGGCCCAGAGCAGGGCACCGACACCTCAGACACCCTCAGCACCTGCGCAGCCCGGGACACTCACGGAGCACACGCGCCGCACACACAGGACACCCACGGAGCACACGCGCCGCACTCACGGAACACCCACGGAGCGCACACAGCACACACACTGGACACCCACAGAGCGCACACGCCACACACACGGGACACCCACGGAGCACACACAGCACACACACAGGACACCCACGGAGTGCACGCGCCACACACACAGGACACCCACGGAGCACACACAACACACACACAGGACACCCACAGAGCACATGCAGCGCACTCATGGAACATGCGGAGCACATGCACCACACTCACGGGACACTGGTACCCCCTAGGCCCTGCAAGTGGGCAGGCAGGGAGGGAGCCTGGGGCCTGCAGCCTCTGCGTGGGAGCCAGGGCTGGTGTGTGTGTGTGTATCCACGTCTGCATGTGTACCTGTGTATATGCATGTACCTATGTTAGTGTGTGTGTCTATGTGTGTCCACATGTGTCTGTTTTATGTGTGTGGTGTATGTGTGACTAGTATCCGTGTGTGCCAAGTGGTAGATCCGTGTTGCTGAGGGGGCGTGTATCTATGTGCATGACTGTGCGTCTGCACATATGCATGCCTGTCGTGGTGCCTGTTCACATGTGCACGTGTGTAAAGGGGCTGGGCTGCTGGGGGCCTAGCAGGCAGTGATGTGGGAGGACGGTGCTCCCGGGAGGGACCTGGGACAAGGGGCTGATGGGAGGGGCCGGCGCTGACCCCGGCTGGGCACCAGCCAGTGGCATGGGACCAGGGCCCACCAGGTTGCACCAAGGTCTGACCGCAGCTCCTGGTTTGTCTGTCCCTCCACTGAGGTCCACGGGGCAGGGCTGACGTGGGGCTGGTGCCCAGCACAGGCGAACTGGATACCTCAGGGACGATGGGTTAGCTAAAAGGCACCAGAAGCCCCCTCACAGACCCCCAAGTCCCGTCCCTGGGCAGCCAGCACCTTGACCTCCAGCCCGCTGACCTGGAGATGGACCATGCAGCGCTCTCCACGCCTGACCGCGGGGCTCCGGGTCCTCTGGCCCTGCCAGCCCATGTGGTACGGCACAGACAGGGCTGCGCGCCAGTCGAGGTTCAGCCCTGCCCAGCAGAGCTCTCTCCCACCTCCCCCACAGGCAGTCTGACACCTGCAGCCCAGCCTGGGGTGCGGGCCAGAGCCATGGAGAGCTTCCTGGAGTCCCTGAACAGGCTGAAGGACATTCATGAGAAGGAGGTTCTGGGTGAGTGGCTGGGGACAGACGGGCCAGGGTGCCACCTCCAATCCCCAGCAAATCCAGGGACCGTCTTTCAGCCCCGGAAGGAGAGCCCTGACCCAGGACCCAAAGCTGCAAGGGACTGGATGCCCAGCCTGGCCCAGAGTGGCCACAAGGGCTGCCCTCCCACAGAGGTGTCCTTGGACCACTGCTCCGGAGTACGGCCCCCAGGTAGGGGCACGGCCCGAGCATACCCATCAGCTCTCCCCCATGGCCACCTACAAGGTGTGCAGCCCACATCAGGCAAGAACAAACCGCCAAGAGCAGACCCGCTTCAGCCCATGGCCCTCGACCCCTGTCTTGAAATGTGGTGTCTGCTCCAGGGACAGGCGTGCCAGCTCCCCAGCCATGGCCCCACACCTGGAGGGAGCCTGCAGCTTCCTGGCACCCAGACAGTGGGCTGCATGGGCATGCGTCTCTCCTCGGCCAGCCCAGGCTACTTGCAGAGATGAGGTCGGAGGGTGTCCAAGGGGGTCCACCCCTACACTAATTGAATCCCTGTCCTTACCAGATGGCCGGTCCCTCCCTGACTCGGGGTTCGACAATCCCAGGCAGATACTGGGTCAGAGGCCCCAGGGGAGGGGAGACCCTGGGAGCCAGACAGGCGGGCGGGGTCTGGGAGGACCGCCCATGGCTCTGTACAGGCCTACATGGGGAGTCTACAGGAGGGTTGGGCCTGACCCCCAGCCCCTCCCTCTGCCCTCTGCCAGGCCTGCAGAACAAGCTTCTGGACCTGAATTCGGAGAGATGCCGGTGAGTCCGACTGGCCCAGCCAGTGAGAGACAGCAAAGAGCTCCTCCCCACGGGCCAGACCGCCCCTTGATCCCTGAAACAAAGAGCACCAGCTCTGCCACCATCCCATGATGCAGAAAGGGACCCTGCGGCACAGCGTGGGTGGGAGACAAGCCCTGAGCGAGTCACAGAGCCCGTGGTGGAGCCAGGCCTAGGCAGGGCGGTGGCTCGGGGCGCCATGGGCCTGCACCGGAACAGCCGTTAGGGGCGCAGGCTCAGGCAGGGCCTTGCTGGGCTCGACTCCCAGGGCAGGTCCCGCAGTGAGGCCCACCGAGCAGGACCAGCAGGTAGGGTACAGAGCCCTCAGGACAGCAAGCAGAGCGCAAAGCAGCCCCCTCACCTGCCCCGCTCTTTCCTGCCGCAGAGACGCCCAGAGACTGGAGGAGCTGTCAGCCAAGAACCGCCAGCTCAGGGAGCAGCAGAAGGCACTGAAGGAGAACCTGAGGGTGCTGGAGAACAGGTGGCCGGGGCTGGGGGCCTCCCAGGGGTCCAGGTTGGCTTCGCCACCGCCATGCGTCTCAGGGCCTTTAGTAAATGCATTGTCAAGGCTCCTTCCCAAACAGCTGAATACGGCCCACAGGGTGGGTACAGGCCTGGAACCCCACAGGACAGTTTGAGAAGCAATTGGGCAGTGTGGGCCCATAAGTGGCAATAGGGCAGAATGGGCCTGAGGGCCTCAGTGTCTCCCCTCCGAGCATCTCTGCCCCCTGCACCACAGGCTGCGGGCTGGCCTCTGTGACCACTGCATGGTGACCCAGGAGCTGGCCAGGAAGAGGCAACAGGAGTTTGAAGGCTCTCACCTGCAAAGCCTGCAACGCATCTTCACCCTCAGTGAGCCCCCCACTGCTGACCAGGTCCCCCCTCCTGCAGGACCCAAGGTCCCCCACCACCAACCCAGCCCTCTCCTGCAGGACCAGGCCCCCCACTGTGGGCTCAGTCCCCTCCTTCAGGACTAGGACCCCAACCACTGACCCAGCTCCCCTCCTGCAGGACCAGAGTGTCCCTCAACCACCGCTCCAGTACCCCTCCTTCAGGACCAAGGCCCCCCACCACCAATCTGGCCCCCCAACCACTGGCCCCGTCCTCCTCCTGCAGGACCAGAGTGCTCCCCAGCTGCCGGCTCAGTCCTCCTCCTGCAGGACCAGGGCCCAGGCCTGCTCAGCCCCACAGGCTCATAGGAAGGAGGGAGGCTGGAGCCCTGCCCAATGCAGGCACCCTGCTGTATAAACAATTGGTCCAAAGTCCCAGCTGGCCCTGGTGCACCCCCACAGCATTTGGGCTGGGGTGCCCTCATGACAAAGAGGAGGCCTGCAGGGTCCGCAGCCCCCTGGTCTTACTGATGACAAAGGATGACCCCTGACCCGTAGAGGGAGCCCCGGGTCCTTCCCTTCTCCATGCTGACGCTGGTGTTTACCTAACGATGCCCACCATCCAGTCCTGTGGGTCTCCGTGCGTGTGGGCCTCATGCTAGCGCTGTGAGAGAGTGAGACGGGAGGGGCCTCCCTACAGCCGTGGGGACCTGCCCCTCCCTGGCTGCTTCCCTAATCCGTCCTTTTGCAGCCACAGAGATGAACGGGCTGAAGGAGGAGAATGAGGCCTTGAGGGAGGAGGTGCAGCGGCTTCGAGGCCTGGGGTGAGTGGGGGGGTGGCCGCCCAGACGCCTGATGCCCACAACTGCCTATGGGCCGCCCCACCCACCACCCCTGCCATCACAGGAGTGTCAGCAGAGCTGTGGCGTCCAGGCCCAGATCTCCCCACCCTCCCTCACCCTCCCCATCTCTGCCTCCTCTCCAGGGACAAGCCTAGGCCCCTGGCCAGGGAGGGTACCTCAGACCCCCCTTCGCCCCTGCTGCTCCCCTCCCCCGGCAGCTGGAAGGCCACCACTGAGAAGCCCCCAGGAGGCCACATGGAGGCCGAGGAAGATCACCTAGGTGCAGGCCCATGAGGAGGTGCCATGGGATGGGAGAGCTGGGAGTCAGGCACCCCCTGAGCACTCCCCGAGCCCTCCTGCTTGCTTCCCCTCCTTCAGGAAAGCCAGCGGGCCACAGGATGTCACCAGTGGCCAGGAGCTCCCCAGGGGCCCACCTGCCTGAGGCCCGGGCCCCAGACCTGGTGAGGGCAAGGGACCCAGAGCCTCCGCCCCTGCCAGGCCAGCCTCACACCACGCCGAGGGTGCCTGTGCTGAGTTCTGGGGGGCGCGGGTGGAGACGGGCCTCAGAATGGGAGGGCAGCCTGCCGCGGTCGCACAGCGAGCCGGGCAGCACAGGGCCAGGCCGGCCACAGCTCACTGGTCCTCCTGGGGCAGAGCCCGCAGCGCATTGCCAACCAGCTGCACGGGACCATCGCTGTGCTGCGCCCCGGAGCCACCAATGGGACACCGCCACCCTCCACAAGCAGCCCGCCCAGCTCATCCGAGCGCAGCCTCCCCCTGGACAGGTGAGGCCCACCAGGAGGGCTTTGCAAGCTCCTTCCTCAGGGGCTGGCCCACCTCTATGGTGGGACGCCAGCAGCCGTGAAAGTCCCTCTGATCCTCCAGGACAGCCCCCAGCCTCTTCAGCTTAGGTTTTTCTGGGCACCCTGTCCAAAGTACAGTCCCATCACGGACATGGGCTGGGTGACCAGGCCTGGGGACCCATGGAGACAGCAGATGAGGCTTCATCCTTCTGTCTGCAAGGGGGCGAGACAGGGTTGTCTGGCCACCTACCCAGGAAAAGGCCCAGGTCCCAAACCCCACACGCTGGGAGCCACCCTCCCCTCCACCTGCCAAGTCTCTCTCCTCACCTGAGACGCGGGGCTCAGCTGGAGGTCTCCACTAACCGGGGGAATCCCTGGTCTTCCCCCGAAGCTTTCTGCGAGCACCGCGGGCCTCCACCGTGACCTACGAGTCCCTGAAGCGCTCTCTTCCAGCAGACCGTCTCTGCCTACTGAACCGCCACCTGCCCCTGCACCTCCGGGGCACCCCCAGCAGCTCCCGGGCCCAGAGCCTGAAGGCCGGAGAGGCAGAGTTCTGGGAGGAGCCTATAGGCCTGCTGGGCCTGCGGGACCCCCGGCTGGAGGGGGCACTGTTCCTGGCCCAGCAGCAGCTGCGAGTGTGGGCAGGCAGTGCCAGGCCGAGGGGCGGCCAGCCCAGGGAGACGCCGCCCTCCTCGCCCATTGGCTCAGACTCAGAGGGCCCTGAGAGCGAGGTGGCCAGGGCAGGTCTGTCCACGGTGGCCCTGCCAGGAGTGCGGCCTCCACCACCCACGGGCCCAGGCAGCCCCCGGAGGAAGGAGCCCACGGCCACGCAGGCCTGTGTCCCAGACAAGCCCCTGGACCTCTCAGAACGGACCCGCGGCCGGGCTACTCCCAGGCCTGCCGGCTGGCCTGGCTCACTCAGCCCAACTATTGCCCAAGTCCCCAGCCCAGAGCCCCGAGTCCCATCTGGACCACCCACTCGCAGACCCCAGGCACTCAGCAATGGGACCAGGGGCACCAGAGCATCAGAGCCAGAGGAGACCCCCAGTCCCCAGGTAAGGGCCTGGCCTTGGACTCCACGCCCCGCCCCCTGCCTAATTCACACTAAACAGGAGGCCACCGGCCTTCCAGCTGGGTCCTGGGCTGGGTCCTGGGCTGAGATGGGGGCAGGGAGTTCCCCCGATAAACGGCCACTTCCTTGTCTCCCCCAGGAGCCCGTACATGCCCCAGGGCCTCGCCCCAGCCTGCCCTCCCCAGGTGGGACAGGAGAAGAGGCCAGAGGGAGGCCAGAGCATCTCTCCCACCCACAGAGACCTGACACTGCCGGCCACCCAGGTACAATGAGCACTAAGCTCAGGAGAAGCAGCAGGACCCCAGAGGGAAGTACCGCCAGGGTGGGCTGGCTGGCCACCGCCTGGGCTAGTGCCTCCCTCTGCAGACACAACGGGGCCGAGGCCCAGTCAGCGAGGAAAGAGCACCCACCACAGGGCCGGTAGCAGGTGGTGGGCCCCACCACACAGGACCCTGACGGGGCCGTTGGAGTCGGCCTAGGTTCGCGTCCCAGCGGGTGCCCTAGGGCAGGTTCCCCGGCCCTGCAGTGTGTCCATCTCGTCTGCAGGGGGGTTTCTGCCTCTAGTCTGGTGAGCTCAGGAGATTCCTGGGCCCCCAGCCTGCCTGACCACACCTGCGTCCTCCAGAGCCCAGCAAGGCCGATGTACCGAGGCCGGAGCCGGACGAGCCGGACGAGTCAGACACCTCAGACAGCGAGGTGAGTCCCGGCCAGCCTCGGGCTGGGTGGCATGGCCACCCGGGCTGACTGAGCCTTCACTCTTGCCCAGGTGGGCCTGAGTGCCGAGGCAGGCGCCGAGTCAAGCGTGCCGGGGCAGAGGCCGCGCTGCTTCTGCAGCACAGAGCATGGGCAGGGCCTCCAGCAGAAGCGGAAGCGGGCCTCCAGCCTGAGGGGCAGAGGTAGGGCCACCCAGGCATGGGGGCAGGGGGCTGGACCTGCATCGCCCACCACCTCCCCTGATGGCCCTCCAGCCTCTGCTGAGCAGACCCCTAAGAGGAGGGCACCCAGGGCCTGCAGCCTCCTCGCCAGGGCAGCCTGGGTCAGAGCCTTCAGTGGGAGCTAGTGTCGCTTTGAGGGGGCCCACAGGGCACTGCCATGCCTGACCTCAGTCCACGTCCACCACCCACAGCCTCCAAGAGGCTGCCCCAAGGGAGCAGGAGACCGAGGGAGGCCCTAACTGCAGCTGAGTGGCCCGCGAGCCCTGGGTCTGCAGAGGACAGCAGCCCCTCGCCCCAGCACCGTAGCTGCCAGGAGACCTAGAAGGCCAGCCTGAGGACACCAACCTGCCCAGAGGGGGCTCTTCACCCAACTGACCACCACCAAGGCAGGCCACACCACCAAGCCGCACACAGCCTGCGGGGCTGTTCCGGCCACTTCCCAAAGGGTGGGGAGGCCCAGGTGGGTCTCTGGCCAGCACTTGTTTCTGCACCTGACACGTGGCCAAGCGGACCTGTGGCTGTCCTAGGCCCAGCACCTGCTCCCCTGGGCACAGCAGGACAAGAGGAGGGCACGGGGCGCAGACTCCAGCTGAGCACCCCCTCCCCGCTGCGCATAGGCTCCGCCCCTCCTCCAGGGTCAGGGCCAGCCCGACCAGACCACGCAGCCCTTTGCCAGCAGCTCATCCTGCACCCAGGGGCACGGGCTCTGTGCGACGGTCTTGGGCGCCCCCTCCTGGACTCTGCAGAGCATCCAGGAATGAGCCCTGGGAGAACAAGCATGAAGGCAAGGTGTGCGGAGGAGGGAAGGGCCCGGGTCACCGCAGGGGCAGGAGCCCTGCCCAAGGTTCCAGGCTGAGGCTGAGACTGCTCCCTTGTAGGAAGGCGGAACCAAACCAGCCTAGGGCTCCAGTGTTGAGCCTTAAAGGGACTGCGCGCCCCCCCTCAGGGGCCATGGAGAACAGCGACAGTGCATGCAGAGCCCCTCCTCACGGACACTCTCCTGAGCCCTGGCCCTGGACTGCCATGGACCCAACAACCCTCGGGATGGCCCCAGGCCAACTCCCTGGATCCCCTGGGAGCAGGGATCTGGGGTGAGCCTTCGAGTCCAGTTAAGAAGCTCCCAGAGGAGCGACCAGCAGATGGCATAATGGTTACGTCACTGGACTCCCGTGTAGTCGACGCCATTCAGTCCCAGACCCAGTGACTTCAAACTCATCCTAGGCACGTGTGCATGCATGCCCAAGATCGCAAGAGAATGGAGAAGGGACATTTCTCGCTTTCTGTCTCTCTGTCTCTCTGGCGAGCACATGTGCCTTATAGCAAAAATCTCCCCCTTAAAAAAAATAAAAGCAGCAGCAACAGCAGCGGCGGCGGTGGCGGTCTCTCTGGCAAGTCGGCATGAAGTCGGCATGAAGTCGGCATTCTCAGGCAGAGCAGGGCCACGGGGAGTGGGGGCAGAGGGCCAGTAACAGCAGCTCGGGTGCCCTGGCAGCGAGGTGGAGAGTCGAGGAAGGTGGCCTCAGAACCCAAATTTCAGTTCTGAGGGATGAACAGAAGTGTACCACACAGGCAAAGGTGTTCTGAAAGTTTAGGATCGAGGATTAGCTAGAAAAGTGGGGGATACGGACAGGTGTCCAGAGGGAACACCCAGGGATCCCCCAGCCCTGTCCCCCGGCCCCTACTCACCTCTGAGGCTGCATGTCCGAGCTAAAACCGGTGGGTGGGTTCCTGCGTGGAGCTGAGCAGGCCCTGGGACGTGGGGACGCTGGCAGGCAGCCCAGGGAGGCCAGCAGGGAAGCACCCTCAACGCCAGGGCAGAGCCTATCAGGGGCTTCTGCTTCCACACCACCAGCCATCTCCGCCAGCAGCCCCAACCTCAGCGCCCCACACAGGAGGGGCTCCAAAGGCGTCGGGCCTTCCCAGCCACCTCTACTATGGCCTCGCCATGGCTGGCCCTCGTGGAGCCAGCTTCATCCTGACAGTCCCCGACGTCATTGCATATATCAGCAAAACCACACAGAACACTGAGTAGAGCAGGTGGTGGCCCAGAGGCCCCCACCAAGACAGGGGCCTCCTTTCCAGACAGCCTCCTGGGTCTCCAGGGGCCGCTCCCGAGCACGAGACCACCAGCACTCTGTAGTCAGGGGACCTGGAAACAGAGGAAGCAGAGCTAGGCACGGCCAGGCTCACAGTCATTTTGCTGCCAAGGTGTGGCCAGGACTGCTCCTGGGACTGGGCTGCCACTGCAGCAGGTGCTTTCTCTCCTTGACATTTGGTCTTGTCTTCAGGCCGTGAGGGAAGTCAGGTGACACTGCTGGCCCTTCCAGGAGCCAAGGGGTCCTCGACAGGATTTGGGCATAGCGCTGTGTGTGTCAGAGAACTATCCAGACAGGAGGGCTGGGCAGGTCTGCACAGAGCCTGGAAGAGGAAGTGCACCGGGCTTCACCCACGCTGCCCATCCTGAGGCTAAACATGTGCGCCAGATGGAGGCTGACCACGAACGTCGCAGCCCAGCGGGGGAAAGAGACGCGGGCGTCCCGCAGCTCTGGCTACCAAGGCGGAGGCTCGAACTCGCGACCCCGCGTCCGCCCTGTTCTGGGCCGGGCTCCGCGGGGCGGGGCGGGGCAGGCGGGGCGGCGCGAAGTTCCGGGTTCCAGGGTCCGAGCGGAACGGCCTCTAAGACCCAGGGGAGTACCCCCAGCACAACGCCAGCCCGCCAGTCGCGCTGGCCCATGGGCGCG